AGACGGATTACGTTCCGGTGTATGGCTGTCTGTTATAGTTGCACATGCCTACGCACACTGAAGCGCTTAAATGCAACACAGGTTCTCAGGTCTATTGCTCACAAAGAGGATTTCAGGGTTTGTTGGTTCTCACAGAGTCGCATTAGCCACTAAACCGTGCTTTGTAATGTGAACATCTTAGTTGTTTCGAAGGGGCATTCATTTTTTCATCTGGATATCTAAAACTTACGATTGTTCTCGCACAAGAAACGTACTGCTTTTTTATGACTAACTATTGAATGTCACATCAATGACCGATTTGTCATTTTGATTCTCTCCTTCCGAAAAATCTAATCGCTTCTCCCGTTCCTTCCAGAACTCTCCGGTTCCGCGATCTCTACGTCCGATTCCACATATGCTGGACGAAATAGGCATTCGCTTGACGAATATCCTGCGTCGTTGGCCTCTCGCTCGCCTTCTGTTTTTTGTCTACACTGCCTTTCTTCATATTTGGCTTTTGTGGGCAATTCTTGTGTATTTACCTCCTACCCAAACTTCGTCACGGACCGCCTAATGCACCTCAACCGATCGTTCTACCAAACCCGATGTGAATAGCGATGAGGGTGGGAGTGGGGGTGAGACGTGACATGGACACCGCTACTCATGTGGTCTTCTTTTGTTGATAGGTTTTATTTGCTATACCCAATATTTTATCTTTGTTCCTTGCCTTCCTCCCGTTTCGGATAGTTTTTTTTTATCTCCTTCCCTTTTTGACTACACTTTATGGCCAATAGTCAACGGTCACTGTGCTCTTTTATCCTTGAACTCTCTGGCACGTCCGAATCCATTTGGATCCCCTCCCTCTGCTTCTCTTTGTCACCACATTCACCCGATCCTCACCTGTATCTGAAAAGTTGTCCAATAAATGAAACCACTGTGATCTTTTCGTCGGTTTCCAAAATATATGGATTCCTGGTCACTTGATTCCTTTGCAGTTGTCATGTATTAAAAAAGCTTCTCGTGTTTGTGCTGACTATTTTCTTATCTGTTACTTGGATGTATCTTACAATGCGTATTTCAACGATCTCAGTTAAAAGACAGTTGCAAACAGTGCAAGACGTTAATGGCAGTGCCAGCCAAACGTGATTTGAAAAACGGAGAAACGTGCAGTAATGTATGGGGTTGCTCACAGTTTAGTCATTTGTCCGGTATCGGGGTTACGAAGGCGCTGATAGAGAGGTTGTACAAATCAGGTTGCCGTTCTCTGTTTGTCCCTATGACGACTACGCATTTAGGACCCTCGAAAAAGCATCGACACGTTGTCATGGTGGCGGTTGATCTCAATTCATTTCAAATTCGAACCGCGAGAATTCTCAAGGGAAGGTTAGGCTTCCCCTGACAAAGGATAAACGTCTGTTAGTGTTAGCTTTCCGTTTGATGCTGCTCACAAACAGAGTTTCAACCGCTCACATTTGATCAGAAAACGGAGCCGTCAACGTCTAACGTGTGTGTGTGTGTGTTCTAGTTCATGGGATGACAGATTTGCCACACCAAGGGACGCATCCCCTGCTCATGACTATATCCGAAACAGTCAGCAAACTATGCAGGGTGTACGTGTAATTTTCATTGTCCATCATTTCTCACGCATATGAAATAGTTGTACGGTGCTTGCGTAACTTTCAGGTGGTATGTGGTAAGCTGATCGTGCACGATAAACCTAAGATCTTGAGGTTAATATCCGGATATTGATATTTGTAAATAATGCTCCCATTAAAATGTTTTGTTTTTTACGTTTGCAATTGGGTTCGGAGCCAGATATACTTGAACTCCAATCGACGACTAAAAGTTCTTTTACCCTTCCTTTCGTTTGGTGCAATGCGGTATCTTTTCAGAGGAACACGATAACGTTTATCTCAGTGACTTCCTCTCCCAATCTTGTCCATTAGAAATGTTTGCAGAATCCTGTGCGTTCCGCTTATCCTCAGTGAATATACAGTTCAAATGAATAGTTGCACTGTCATTCTACCCTATTGCCATCAGATGTGCGTCTCACTAGGATGGTTGCACAAGTCCTATCACCGGAGATTGACGATCGTCTCGCTAAAATTCTCCCGTCCCTGGTGGGCGCACCCGTACTGCTTAAACCTCGTCGGCGATCCGTTGATCAGCAGAGAAGTGATGGACTGTTAGCAATCTTCTCCACTATCTGTGGTCTCTGCAGTTGCGTTGATACTGGGAAGTGAAAGAAACTAACCCACCTCTCCTTTGTGTGCTGAATGTTAGTCATTATTCCACTGGATGAAAACACATCAGGGCGAATGAAAGAGTCGAAGAAATTAGAATCTAATCGTGCTTTATCTGTGGACTAAACACAAGTACAATTGATAGGGAAATGAAAAGTACCACGTTTTGACTAGTGGATATACATATGCATTTCGAATAACTAACTGAAACAATACAGGAATAATACTCTGGTCATTTTGGGGGTTCTGACTGATCCCGTTCATCTTCACAGTTCACATAATTGTAGGGGCACTGAAAGAAAAATAAGAAAATAGCTTGTGCGTAACAGTCACCGTGGGGTGGAGAAGGGAGGCGTAGGAACAGAATTAATTTGAACGTGTAATAAACTAGTAGCATTTGAATCGTAGAGTGGTTAGCTGACAGTTTGTAAGAAATGAATAATCGCATTTCGAATGTGTTTATGAACTTGGATTATCATGCATCCGTAAAATTTAGCGGCGCTTTTAGACACCAGTCATAAGGTTTCTTAAACCTACACCACAACCAATGACCCTCACAAAATTGGCCCTCAACAAGGTTTCCTTGAGTGCGCAAGATAGGCTAGAAAAACTGGATTAGGCATCTTTTTTTATTCCATAGGTACCAACCGATCTGTGATTTATTGGTGAAATTTAAAGAACCTGATAAAATACTCATTCAAACTTGCCTAGAGACGTGTATATATATATATATATATCACCGGTCTTTACGAGTACGGCGCCAAACCATTAGTTCTCCAAAGGCACCCATTTTGGTCAACAAGCCAAAACATCTCTACGGACTTACCGTGTCGTAAACAGTGGCGTTCCTGCATCTTCTCAATTTCCTTGCATCATTAGTCCACTGGACTTCTCAATTTTCTCTTCGATCCTACCGTCAACCTTTCTATTTTCCTCCTATTCTTCACCCAAATGGGCCCCCAAAAGACAGCAACCAAAGCGACGCATGGAAGTGCATGCCTAACGGTTGTTCAAACTGAACTGTTCACATTTAGACCAGCTAGTTTTCTGGAAATTTGTTATAATATCGACACTCAGTAAGCGTTACGATGGAGTTTTGCGCATTGTTAGAATCCATCCGCAGTCCACATCAACCCTCTCGCTCGAGCTATGAACTCCTGACCCTTCGTATGAAAGGTGTATTTCACTCACGTCTGAATCCAGACTGTTTGCCAAACAAATGACAGCACAGTAACTCTTATAGACAAGAGAGAAAACTCCATAATTTGTTTGTGGGAGGAATACTACCAGATTGCATTTTCTTGGGGATCCCACAACCGGAGCCTTCAACTAGCCAAAGCCTGACCCACAAGACAGCGGTGTGCGAAAACAGCAATCCATTGGAGGCCGATGTCGAGCTCGTCAGGTCATACTCCCTTTGGACGGGGTCAAACGTCCAAGGTGTCCAATACACCTTGATGCCCAATCGAGCCAGTGACCATGGCCATAACCAGGTGTGTGGTTCTTAAGCCTCCTCATAGTTGGTTTGGAATCAGGGATTTTGCCAACGCCCCTAGGTGAACTGTCAGTGGTTCACTGACCCGGTTATAGCCCCGGGTGTCGATTTTTCGTCCTTTCACTTTGGTGAGAAAACGCTTCCGCCACTAGAAGACAATGAGTACGGCTTACTCAGCAGAGCCTATTTGAGACGCTTGCTTGTATAAGAACATTCTGTGAGCTTTAAGAGAAGGGTGACCAGCCGCAACCTTAGACACCCAACCCCGACCATACTGAGGCTTTTGGATGCGTAATATGAGAATGAACGAACCCGGCGGTAAATGACATCGGTCGGCCGGGTAAGGAAGCGAATCAAGTCAAGATGGATCGATAAATCGGTCACCATGCTAAGATGTGAATGTTGGAACGAATCATTTCATGATTGGATTCGGCCTAGGCCCTCAATAGCTTTGCATTCCACGTAGTATATAGAGTTCGGTTGGGCACTCGCTTGATAAGGTAACCCATACCATCACGGAGTTTCAATCATTATTCTGCTTGCTGTTTCCAATCGTCGGGTCTGTCTGAATTAAATTTTATTTTGTCGCTGCAGTAAACGAAATTCCATTTGTTTTTCGAAGTTGCGAGTTTCAGTCCAAAGTAAACGGTTTTTCCTGATTATGAGGCCTTTGCAGCTGTGTGCCTTCTCACTTATGTTGTGTTTCATCCAACGGACCGACCGTTGTATCGTTCACACCGAAACGTTCAATTCGAGCACCGTTTTCATCTCCGATGCATGACTTACGCAGTTTCACGACACCCTTAGCAACCTACCCTCACTGTTCCCCGAGACATTTTTCTGGTGACCAATCCATTTGTGACTGGATTTTGTTGTTTCCACTTCATATATCGTGCCACAGGGTGATCGAGATCTATCAGACCATCTGGCTATTTTATGCATTCCAACAACAGTCCTACGAAAGACGTTGCTTCTGTATTTATCGTCCGCCATGGTTGATAATGTCTTATATTGGCGTACTTTGATGTCTCTGTTCTTTCAAGGCCATTAGGAGTGATGTGAGCATGACCGTAGCTTACACTAGTCTGTCAAAGACCGACTCACCACGGTTGTCAGTTGCCATTCCGAAGTACAAACTCGGGATAGCTATGGCAAACCGTTTTAAATCAGAGTTGGGTGGGCGAAGGCAATGGGGAGTGCAATAGTTTCGTTGCGAAGAAAATTCTGGTTTTCGACATATTTCTGATGAAATTTCGTAATTCGGCGTTTCACTCGATTGCCGTCTAGATTCTCCATACTGGTGATTGTCGTGCATATGTAGGGACGGAGATAATCCAAAAATCTAGGAGGAGCACTGTGTTTCTTCGCGGGTTGTATTTACATTGCTTTTGCTGACGCATGCATCAAAAAATGGCCCGGTTTAATCAGTATATGCATTTTGGTCGGAAGCGGAATAATAAAGATTTCGATACACATCTGCTTTGGTTTGAAAAGTATTGACTGTAGTAAAGGTTTTATTATGGAAACTAAGTACTTCAATTCCGTAAATCGTGGATTTACGAACGTCATGTGTGGCTATACGGAGCATAGTCTAGTATACACTGCATTGACAACGGATGGAGGGGTTGCTCGACATCGTAGCACAAACCGACCAAGAGAACCTGGCCAAAGGAGCGGCAGCAGTTTTGTCGAAAGCAACCTAAAATAGACCAATGTAGTCCTATCGACAAACTGAAGCAATCTTTCACAACCGCAGGTGAAAAAACTTGCCTCAGGTGAAAATCTGTGGTACAAGCCGTCATTCGGGAAAAACAAAATGACGGGGTTACTTATGCGCGAAATCAGGAGCTGTCAGCCGACCCCAAAAAGGTTGTGGAATGCTCAACTAGTCGAAATATGAATCTTCCTTGAGGGCGGTTTGGAAACGGGTCGTTCACTTGACTGCGTGGTTCGCGAAACTTAACCAATTCCGATCCCTCGTCCGTGTGTCTCACTCATTCACCTCGTTACATGAGGCTATAGTTACACATTTCATTCGGCAATAAGATTCTGAGACTGAAATGTCTTTTAATTTTCATCAAATACATTGAATTGAATTGAACACCCTGCATACCATGAAATATGCATTGACATGACGTGACCAAAACCTTCCACATCCGGTTGTAAAAGAATATTGCCTTTCTGATACAGGTTGTGAGTACCTTTTCGTGAAGCCATCAACTTTTATTTTTAATTTTATTTAAATCTATAAGGTGAAACTAAACTTACATGACGGCATCGATTTCCGCAACATTCACCTCGCTCCAAATGTGCCAATTCTGTGAACACCACAAAACCGGTTTTCGGATCACGATATGTGGTCTGACGTGCCTGAAAATTCGATGACAGACAGGAAAGCATCACCTCGAAATTCGATATCGGACTGATGGGATCGGTGTACCAGTCAACCACGACGTATCACGTAGAATATATAATATATATATATAATATAATAACATATATATATATAATTATTCATATACTTTTCTCTATTTAGTGCAACAACTACGATGCGGAATCACTACTGGCGAAGAGTAACCGTAAAACTACCGCAAAAGGTCATATTCCTGTAGATAACACGTAATACAAAATTTGATCTTCTATGCTCACCATTGGAAACGTACTAACTTTGAATTGTGTATCATGATGTTACTTGAGAGAATTGCTAGCCAACTACAACAAGTAATGGAGGGAGTTTAACAAAGTCCGGAGTGGCGTAGCTTTGTGAGCTAAACCGATTGTGGTGCACCATAGAAAATAATCACTTGCTTGTGCTTAATTGCGTACGATTACCGACAAAGAGCCCTGATTCATCCCTGTGGGGACTGAGTTGCATTGGGAAATGATTTTATTTGCTTGCTGAAACCCTGGCAGTAGAAGCTCCAAGTTGAGGGCTACATGGTTAATACTACAAAGACCCTGGCTTGACTGAATACGCATTCAAAGAAAACCACAAAATTTCAGTTTTTTGTTTTACCTTACGCTATACTTGCCATGACTTCTGAAAACCTAGATAATTTCGTTAAATTAAAGACAAAAAAACAATGATGCTATCGATACTAATAATGATCATATTTTGCTTCCTTTGTAGTTATTGGATATCCAATGCTGAAATCACTTTTCAGAAAAGGGGGCTGTGACAACTTTAATGGTAACTAAGGCTGCAGAAGATTAATGTTGGCGTTGGTGGGACTATAGCGCGCAAACCTTCGAGTCTTTGTTACCATAACCCTAATGACCACCACCCAGTGCATCTGCTCGTCACACGCAACATGGAGAAAACCAAAGTGATAAAACAAAGCTAGTAAATATAAACCATATGTCGGAATTCGAACGGAACACATCACCAACCCTGTCCTTGTTTGGTGGTTTATTTCAGCGATCGAAAATCTGCAAGATCACCGAGGGCCAATTGATGTATCTCAGAGAATAACTGTCGGTTGCTACGTTCACTACCCGTAGTGCGGCCAGGAACTGCGATGGTATGTTTCTAATGAAGTTTTCTGTGTTATGTATGCCAAATTACTGATATCCCATCTGTTATCCTTAATAAACAACCGTCCTTGACCAAGCACCGTCTGCTGGAATTATAACACTATGGATAGATCACGAAAGATGCGTTCTGGGAGATAAGGAACTATCAAGGAGTATAATAAAGTACATTATATTTCACACGTTTGAGCTCAGACTATGTGACAAACCAATCGTGGTGCAATAAACTTGTCAATAAAGTAATCGATACATTATTTCTGCACGCTGGAAGATGTTTAAACTTAAGGTGAGTTGAATAGTCAGAAATGCATTTAGATAACGTAGACGGAAGGAGATCAAAGAAGTGAGACAGTTTGCTTTGAGCAATCCTAACACAATCTTTGATGTGTTGGGTGGAAACGTGGTACATGGTTTAAACTCTGGTTAGGGCCCAGGGAACTGGGTTTGACTGCAGATATTACACGAAAACTAACCATAGCTTTTAAAAATAAAAGCAATAAACGACCACTGGAACCTCAGTTATGTAAAACTTATCTTATATAGCTCATTGGGTCGATTAGGTGGAAACGCCATGAAACCAGCTTAGGATGAAGTCTCCTTAAAAAGTAATCAGGACTCCAAATCAGCTATAAAACGCCAAACAGTTCTAGACCAAAAATTGCTCGTATATTTCCAGATTTGGTGTGCTCACTTCGAAACCAGGTTCGCTGAAAAAGGTACGTGAAAATTATTCATCAAATTTCGTGGTTGTGGATAACCTTATCGCAGTGTCACACGAATAAGAAAAGCCTAAGTGAAGGACAAGAAGTCATGGTCAGGGGAAATTAAAAATGGTGCCTGATCGGTACAAACTTATATGGCACCAGCTTGGCACTCAATGGGTTCTTTTATTAAACTGAGGTTACAGAGGATATGAAGTCAGCATATGCAATCGGATGAATGGAGAGTGAACAGGATCTCCGAGGTAGCATTGTGAATAATATGAAAAAGCTTGCCATTTTGATCAACCAGATCAAGCTGAAAGACTACCTCATATATTTGGGTGATTTGTGTTATTGTTTCAATTTTCTCGCTCGATCACCATGCATGGACTATTCGTCAAAATGCCTTGGATTGAAGCAACCACGTCGACCAGTCCTAAGTCCAAGACTCCCAGGCAGTTTCGATGCACAAACAGACCGGGTGTTTCTCGTCGATCAGGTCTTTCTTCCTTGGATTTGGAAACTTATTTATTTTGAAGCATCTCGGAGTTATGCGTTCCTCAAGTACCACCAACCGGAGATGAAGATGTGAATGATTATGCAAACATTAGTATAGCTAAAAAGACGGTAGCAGTGGTGTCACACTAATGACGAACAATTTGCATTTAATTGATATTCAACTACTACGGATGTAAGCATGAAATCACCAACATACCCGCAATAGGAAGAACGTGTAAACAATACGCTTACTTACCTTAATCGCTTTTCGATGTGCATCATCCCAGTAAGATGGAGTCTTTTTCTGTATGGAATGAGGTTTGTTGGATTTATTTACATGTTTCGAATACCGGGAGACCGAGGACAACAGATAATGAGGCCAAGATGACCTGACCAGGCGGGTCAGAACAACCCGCAAATGCGTTATCGACTGCAGTATGATCTGGAACCTGGAATAAATAAGATAAGCATATGGAGGTATTGATTTTGGTTGAACAGCTTTGCTTCGTATTGCTTCGCTGTGTGCACTTCAAAGACAGCATTTAAAATGATTATTTCCAATAACTCAGTGGAGCCATGGGTGAATTATTTCCACAATTCACTGTGTGCAACTGAAAATACTACTACTCCAGCTGTATGCTGTTACCATTTCTCATGTGACACATATACGCCAACGGCATCAGCAGTGAAAACTGAAATTCTGGTAAGAAAGCTGAAATAGAGTGCCGGATGAAAGAGAAAAAACCACTGTGTGAGCTTGAACAAATGTTGTTTAGATCAGCATTTACCGAAGAGTGAATTACTTGCTTTCCAATAAATAAAGGATAAGTGAAATCTTGAACTTTCTTGCTGGTGTATTATTTTGGTCAACTGGAACTTTAACTACTCCTGAGTTCATTTCGACGAATATAATACGTTTTTTCTCTATTTTCTCGCATGAAACGGAGGATAGCTTTGGTGATTGACGCATAACTCGCTGTCACGAAAAAGACCAACTCGAAATAAAACGTGTTTGGAAGAGAGCCTAGAAACAAGCATATTACTGAAGTGCAAACACATACTTTTTGGGAAGGAAATTCGAAACATATTTAAGAGGAAGAAAAACAACAGCTGATTTTTGTCAACATCTAGTGTGCACGCCAAACAAGTTGTTCTGATACATTATTGATTTCGAATACAAATAACCAACATGAGAAATTTAAGTTAAAAGTTGGGATTGTTAAATTGTTTGTTATTTTTATTTACATTGCGTGACTACTAAAATTGATACTTGTTTTCTTCATACTGGAGTCTGTTTGTAAGGGCAAACCAAAGCATACAAGCAAGTTTTCTGTGAGCCATTGATCATGGAAAAACGAAAACAATTGATGATCTCATTCAAAACCAAGGAGATTAGTAAAGTAAATTTTATGTTATTTATGTGTTGGCGGAGAAGAAAGTTAATTTTTGCATGTGCTCCTCTGGATTGTGCTATATTTTGAAGAATATTTCGTATTACAAAGTACTACTATTTATCGAAGCACAAAGTCAGACTAGAATTACAGAAGTTACAAACAAAACAGCTAGACTAACAATTGCAGTTTTACATCCGCAACCAGCTTATTTAAATGCTGAACGTATACTTATTGACTTACCACCGAGAAATAAAATTCCACTTCATGTTTACATCACTCGTTAGAAACGGATGTACGCACAAATACGTATATTCACGTTTTATCATCCTTTACGCTTAACCCTGGTCTGCGGATTGGTTTGTCACATCACCGGAAAGACTGGATTGGCAGAAACCGCAGCACTGTCAACTACCGAACACGTTTAGGCCAAAATGTAGAAAGAACAGGCGATTCATCACTGGAATCACTACGAAATATGGGACAAATGTGTAGGTAGTAATCCGCGCAATTTGGAATTACTACGAAGGTAAATATACGTGTATGCCTTCAACCGATAGGTGATAATTCATTTTCAAGACTTGCTATGACAGCACTGCTGTAAAACAAGGCTCATTACAGGGTAGAAGTATTTTTGATAAATATTCCTGTCACTGACATGAAATGAGTGCCGAATAGGAAGGTAAGGGCGTGAAGTAGATCCGAAAATGTGCACTGTTGGAGGAAAGTCACAAATACGCATATTAACACGTATTCACAAGTGTATGCATGCGCACAGAAACATGTACAAACTCGGGTTAACACCTTCACCCACAGAAACTAATATTCACGTGCCAGCTAGAGCAAATAAAGCTTTTAACTCAATTGGTTTTATTAATTTTCGCTGACAAAACGACACTGTTACATTTGATTATGTAATGCGTGATTGGTGTGGGTCAACAAAATTGCACCTAAGTATTTATTAGTTATAGAATGGAACGCAATGTGAATATCTGAAAGCAATTTTTGAGTCCATCTTAGATATTGATAGGAATATTCTAATCGTCTAAAATTGAACGGGATTCTTGAATTAGAATGTACTCTTTCATTCTAGATGGGTCTGAGTTGAATAGCTATATATATGTGTAGTATATTATATTTTACAATCATTATTATATTATTTGTTTTACATAAAAGATGAATCACAGAGTATTAATTCACAAGCACCGCGTGCGTATGAGCACGCTCTACTCTCGAAAAGTTAGTAGGTGCAGTGTCACTGCGGGCCCAGATAATATGTAGATGTGAATAGCCCCAAACAATCCCAAAGCTATCCGCTAGTGCGTTATGTCTGCTTCTCTTAACCATGTCGTGAATTTAGTCGTGGACATGACAAACCAAAGATGAAGGACCTGGGTCCAACAAGAAGAAAGAAACTATACCACTTGCTTGACAACTGGGTGGCTAATTAGACCGGTTTTCATTTACTTTATAGAATGGTTATTAAATAAAAATAGAATGATCATTCTCTTGTAAATTCCTAGAAAACTAAATAGTAATTACCGAAAAATATAGACTGTAGAAGCTGTAGGCTTGGATTCGTCCATGCACCTTTTAACGTAGCAATTAGGTAAAGTTAAAACGAATCCCAGTCGTCCAGCTTCGTCATTTAGGCACAGGGAAAATTGGTGCTCATGAAAAATTATTTTTCAATATTTTTCCTAATTACTTCATAACAGCGCTGTAATGTGCAGCAAAACAGACCACGTTGATGAGGAGCAAAAAAGGCTTCATGGCGTAACTTCACCCATGACGATGAATTTTTAAATACATAGTCATGTTGAGTTTTCTATCTGTAAATTCGCTGATGTTTGAATCAGCTGCACCCAAGTCGTTGTAGATAGTGAACATTTTTGCAAATGAACATTGACTCAGTTCTATGTTCTATCTCTCCCCAAATTATTCATATTCACA